CAAATGATCAATAGAAATGTCATAGAGCTACAGTGTATAGAATTAAAAGTCAGGGAGTAGTCAGTTATTTATAAATGCATTATTTATCTAACAATTGTCAACAGAACAGTAATGAAAATAGAGTAGAAAATGTAAAATTATTAAATTAGTTATTAATAATACAGTATTAACAATATAAATAAACAATGTAAATAAAATGTTAAAGACAAACAGAAACTGAAACAAAGTGGACTTAAAAGTCAAGGACCAGTCATTTATAAATGCAATATTTATTTAACATTGGTCAACAAAACAGTAATGAACATGGAATAAAAAATCTAAACAATTAAATACGTTAAATATTAACAGAAAAAAATACAAAAATTAACAAATTAAATAAAATGTTGAATAAATTTAGAAACCAACAAGTGAATTAGAATAAATTGAACTATTATGGTGCACCGTTGTGGAGGATAGTAGCATCTGTGTGCAAGTCCAATATAAACTAAGCATAGCTGATGTTGTGCTGCATCTTCTTTTGTTTAAAAGTAACTGTGTAGTTACAAATACAGGGAAAATCTGTTTGCTAATTATACATACATGAACACATTAGTGCATTGAATGACTACGTTTTTGTGAGCTTAACTAGGTTTTTGGGAACTAAGCATTGTATCAGTTGATAAAATATGGTTATTTTCTGTAAATTAAAACAGTTATATAAAACTTCCGTATTTTTACAGAAAATTCCTGGCAACCACTGCCGGTATTTTTCAGTAAATTTAAAGGATTTTTTTAGCAGTGTAAATAAATTCAAGTTAATTATAAATGTTGTGTTGATTGAACTAAACAACATTACCTTACCTTTATGTAACTAACTTAAGTTCACTCAAATGAATATTCTTTCTTTAAGGTAACTTAACTCGGTTACGTGGAACCTGTTGACATAAAAAAGTTAATTAAAGCCAACATATCATTTTTTTGAGTGCAAGGTCCTCTGTCCACGAGACTGCAATGGGCATTTCTCAATCTGAAAAAAATCATGAAAAATAGAATAAATAATTTTAACTCAATGACTCCTTTAATAAAGCACAAAATAGCTCTGTAAATTAATTTAACACTGTTTCTAAAATGTGTGTAATATTTATCTAATATGTAATTGTACAGTTTGTATCTCCAAAAACAAAAAAGATAGAGGTAAAGTTGGTATTATATTCACACATTCGTTCATTTAGAAGTCTCTATATTGTTTACCATATTACTTTGAATATTCGATCGAAATTAGCATGCAAGTATGATTTGAAAACAATATCAACACTTATCTAATTCACTGTGAACAATGCTGTACTTTGATAATCATTAATCATTGTCTGCTAATATGATTTTCCTATTTAGAATTTGCAAAGAATTTTTTTCTGAAATGATATTATTAAGGAGAATGTCTGAATATTCAAATATAAAACCAACTTTACCTCTATAAGAAAAAAAATAAGAGGAACTGGACAAGAACATTCCAGGCCTTAAAACCACATGCTGTATACTGTACACTCATAATCCATTCCCCCCTTTTAAAATCTCTCTCATAAACGGTCAAACTATAGTAAATTATTCGACGTAAATCTCAAAATACATGCAATTTAAAACACATTATTATTTAAAAACAAGTATTACATCCCTTACAGAAATTTCACATGAGTTTCACATGTGAAATTCACATGTGATCACATGTGCATGTGAAATTGCACATGTGAAATTTTACATGTGAAACACACAAACCACATGTGAAATGCACATGGGATCACATGTGATCACATGGGAAAATGTGTGTATTTGGAACGCTTTTGTGTGAATTCACATGTGATCACATGGGAAAACGTGTGTATTTGGAACGACTTCGTGTGAATATTCATGTGAACCACATGTGATCACATGGGAAAACGTGTGTATTTGGAACGATTTCATGTGAATCACATGGGAAAACGTGTGTATTTGGAACGCTTTCGTGTGAATTTTCATGTGAACCACATGTGATCACATGGGAAAACGTGTGTATTTGGAACGCTTTTGTGTGAATTCACATGTGATCACATGGGAAAACGTGTGTATTTGGAACGCTTTTGTGTGAATTCACATGTGATCACATGGGAAAACGTGTGTATTTGGAACGATTTCGTGTGAATTTTCATGTGAACCACATGTGATCACATGGGAAAACGTGTGTATTTGGAACGCTTTCGTGTGAATTCACATGTGATCACATGGGAAAACGTGTGTATTTGGAACGCTTTCGTGTGAATTCACATGTGATCACATGGGAAAACGTGTGTATTTGGAACGCGTTTGTGTGAATTCACATGTGATCACATGGGAAAACGTGTGTATTTGGAACGCTTTCGTGTGAATTCACATGTGATCACATGGGAAAACGTGTGTATTTGGAACGCGTTTGTGTGAATTCACATGTGATCACATGGGAAAACGTGTGTATTTGGAACGCTTTCGTGTGAATTCACATGTGATCACATGGGAAAACATGTGTATTTGGAACGCTTTCTTGTGAATTCACATGTGATCACATGGGAAAACGTGTGTATTTGGAACGATATCGTGTGAATTTTCATGTGAACCACATGTGATCACATGGGAAAACGTGTGTATTTGGAACGATTTCGTGTGACTTTTCATGTGAACCACATGTGATCACATGGGAAAATGTGTGTATTTGGAACGCTTTTGTGTGAATTCACATGTGATCACATGGGAAAACGTGTGTATTTGGAACGACTTCGTGTGAATATTCATGTGAACCACATGTGATCACATGGGAAAACGTGTGTATTTGGAACGATTTCGTGTGAATTTTCATGTGAATCACATGGGAAAACGTGTGTATTTGGAACGCTTTCGTGTGAATTTTCATGTGAACCACATGTGATCACATGGGAAAACGTGTGTATTTGGAACGCTTTTGTGTGAATTCACATGTGATCACATGGGAAAACGTGTGTATTTGGAACGATTTCGTGTGAATTCACATGTGATCACATGTGATCACATGGGAAAACGTGTGTATTTGGAACGCTTTCGTGTGAATTCACATGTGATCACATGGGAAAACGTGTGTATTTGGAACGCTTTCGTGTGAATTCACATGTGATCACATGGGAAAACATGTGTATTTGGAACGCGTTTGTGTGAATTCACATGTGATCACATGGGAAAACGTGTGTATTTGGAACGCTTTCGTGTGAATTCACATGTGATCACATGGGAAACGTGTGTATTTGGAACGCGTTTGTGTGAATTCACATGTGATTACATGGGAAAAAGTGTGTATTTGGAACGCTTTCGTGTGAATTCACATGTGATCACATGGGAAAACGTGTGTATTTGGAACGCTTTCTTGTGAATTCACATGTGATCACATGGGAAAACGTGTGTATTTGGAACGATATCGTGTGAATTTTCATGTGAACCACATGTGATCACATGGGAAAACGTGTGTATTTGGAACGATTTCGTGTGACTTTTCATGTGAACCACATGTGATCACATGGGAAAATGTGTGTATTTGGAACGCTTTCGTGTGAATTCACATGTGATCACATGGGAAACCGTGTGTATTTGGAACGCTTTTGTGTGAATTCACATGTGATCACATGGGAAAACGTGTGTATTTGGAACGCTTTTGTGTGAATTCACATGTGATCACATGGGAAAACGTGTGTATTTGGAACGCTTTTGTGTGAATTCACATGTGATCACATGGGAAAACGTGTGTATTTGGAACGCTTTCGTGTGAATTCACATGTGATCACATGGGAAAACGTGTGTATTTGGAACGCTTTTGTGTGAATTCACATGTGATCACATGGGAAAACGTGTGTATTTGGAACGCTTTTGTGTGAATTCACATGTGATCACATGGGAAAACGTGTGTATTTGGAACGATTTCGTGTGAATTTTCATGTGAACCACATGTGATCACATGGGAAAACGTGTGTATTTGGAACGCTTTTGTGTGAATTCACATGTGATCACATGGGAAAACGTGTGTATTTGGAACGCTTTTGTGTGAATTCACATGTGATCACATGGGAAAACGTGTGTATTTGGAACGATTTCGTGTGAATTTTCATGTGAACCACATGTGATCACACGGGAAAACGTGTGTATTTGGAACGCTTTTGTGTGAATTCACATGTGATCACATGGGAAAACGTGTGTATTTGGAACGCTTTTGTGTGAATTCACATGTGATCAAATGGGAAAACGTGTGTATTTGGAACGATTTCGTGTGAATTTTCATGTGAACCACATGTGATCACACGGGAAAACGTGTGTATTTGGAACGCTTTTGTGTGAATTCACATGTGATCACATGGGAAAACGTGTGTATTTGGAACGATTTCGTGTGAATTTTCATGTTAACCACATGTGATCACATGGGAAAACCTGTGAATTTTAACGTTTTTGTGTGAATTCACATGTGAACTACATGTGCATTCACAAGTGATCACATGGGAAAATGTTTGTATTTAGAATTTTGATGGTGAGCATTGAAACATGCGTTCCCATGTAAAAATCTCTTGTGGCTTTTCTCTTGTGTACTTCACACCATAAAATTTGTGCATTAGTGTGAACAAAAGTTATTCTTAAACTTAAATATAAATACAAACAATTTATTGTCAATTATACAAAATCACAACAATTATTTACTGAAATACCTTGAGGGGAAAACTGTCACTAATATAATGTGAATACAAAAGGGGCCACATGGTAGCTCCGTGGTCATCACTGTTGCCTCAAAGCAAGAAGGTCACTGGTTCGAGTCTCAGGTGTGCCAGGTGTGGAGTTTGCATGTTCACCCCATGTTTGCGTGGGTTTCCTTCGGGTGCTCTGGTCAATTCTGCATATGAGAGCATCTGGTGAAAAAAGCATGTACCACAGTAATTGCTAGTTCATTCTGCTGTGATGACCCGTGATGAAAAGGGAAAGAAAAGCCAAGGGAAAGTGAGTTTTGCTTTTGACGAGTTTGTCCTTTTGGTTCATGTTAATGACTTGATCTTGTAATCTGTAAGAAAAAAATACAAAACTTATTTTTAATAAAAGAAACTACCAAATGCTCAAATGCATACACGTGAATGCAAAATGAATTCATAGTATTTAGATCACATTTTTTCACATTAGCAGAAATAGGTAGTAATGAAGTACAAACTTTGTTACTTTACTTAAGTAGATATGTCTAGTGTCAGTATTATACTCCACTGTTAACGTTTTCTGAAATATTTTTCTTTTACTTCTTACATTTGAATACAAATCTACTCCTTACATTTTTAAATCAGGCTCGTTACTTTCGCTTTAATGTGCTTTGTGGAGCAGACATAGCTTTAGTATAATGCAAAAAATATGTAGTCAAATACATTTAGTTTTTTTATTTTATCAAAAGACAAAAACTGAAATATGTTTTGAAAAAAAATTAGGTTTTAAATTTAAGACATTTATTAGTTATAAATATATAGGCCTACAGAATTATATTCAAGAGTATACAAACAAGTATGACAGCTGCTGTTCTTAACAGCTATAGTGTTTTGTGTTCAGCTGATGATACACAGGGCTCGAAATTAACCTTTTTTTCTTGGTAGCACCGGTGCTCTTAACTTCAAAAATTTGGATGCACCAGACAAAATTTAGTCGCACCCATCGACAAATATGAGCACCGTTACTAAACGTTTTATGTTAACAGATTCCAATATATATTACCACTCTAATCACAACTAACAAATAAACAAAAATCTGCATGCGCTCACTGGCCCTGCATGCACTGCTTGACGTGAATGAGATGAACTGAATTAACTATAATAACTGTGCTGTTCTTATGGGTGGTGTCTGATACTGCACAGATGCTATTGACATATAACTTATTATTTGCATACGTCACCCTAATATATAACGGTCTTTTCATGAACTGCAATATTAGTTTCATCTCAGTGAATGCATGCTCTTTAGCGATGGTGACTGCGGTATCAGTCGCACGATTAACAGCATTGTGATGATTAAATAAAGGATTAAATAACGGTTGAACATTCATTCATTTTTTTCCGGCTTAGTCCCTTTTTTAATTCGGAGTCGCCAACTTATCCAGCATCTGTTTTACGCAGCAGATGCCCTTCCAGCTGCAACCCATCTCTGGAAAACATTCATACACACCCAATCACACGTATACACTACGGACAATTTAGCCTGCCCAATTCACCTATACTGCATATCTTTGGACTGTGGGGGAAAACGGAGCACCCGAAGGAAACCCACACGAATACACAACAACAAGTTAAGAACAAGTAAACTTCACGTTAGAACATCTCGTGCTTAAAATGTGTAGATTAAGTGGCAAACACTGTTACTTAAAAACTCCATCCCACCAGTTTTACAGTGAATGCTATAATCATTTTCATAGCGGACTTTGACCACTAGATGTCTTTTATCCACTCTTCGAAAAGTGTAAATGCTGGATTGACATTCTCCACATAATGACTAATCAGATGTGCCATGATTTGTAACTGTAGATGGTTTCTAAAACTAAATCTATCAGTGTTGTTTTCATTCTCTCTTATCCAGACCTTTGCATTTTTGCAGCTGTAGCTCCCTGTCATCGAAACTTAGTGATTGACAGCTGATATTAACCAATCCATTCGCATTCTGTTCTAGCGCAATTGGCCAATAAAAAAAGCTTGAAGACGGGCTTTGCTTAGTGCAGCAAGTTGACGTGTTAACTGTTATAAACTATTCTTTAGTGCTGCGTTTGGTGTTTTTAGGTGTAAAGATGCTTGCGTGAATGCCTCCTAATTCCGCGCATGTGGTGAACATTTTTCTGTGAAAACAACAATTTTATGTACTCGCATAAATGCTGCCAAATACATTTTGAGGTCGCAAAGATTAAACTTTGGGCGCATATGCGACCAAAACAGTCGCAATGTCAAGCCCTGTAGGATGATGTTGCTTGGCTACTTTACAGCTAAAAATTGGCAACAACTTTTTTTACAAAAAAAAAAAAATTGAAATGTAAGTAATTTTGTATAAATGTATGCATTTTGTGAGGTGTAGTTACCACCATGAAACTAAAACAGATATTACTAATGAATACTTTTTACTTAAGTACATATTTCAGGCTGTACTTATTTACTTTTACTTGAGTAGAAAAGTCTAGTCCGTAGTTCAACTTTTACCAGAGTATCTGTACTTCTACTTGAGTAAAGGATGCATGTACATTTGCCATCTCTATGCATTAGAGATAGCAAACGCTATAAAAGTTACCTGTTAAGACATTAACTTTGTGCACTGGAAGTGCTCCTTACTAGCCTCTGTATTGGGTGTATTTTCTCTTTTCAGACACTGATTGACTGCCCGTTTTCACTCCCTCTCCCAAAGTGATGTAAACGATTACCTATCAGGAAACATCAGATGTTAAAAACAGAAAAAACTGTATACAGGGTGATTCAAAAGGAATCCCACAAATTTGAAAATCGAAAACTCTGCAAAGAAGAAAAGGGGAGCTAAGCTCTTTCTGTCGTTGATTTAAGGAAGCTCTGAAGTTTCATTTGGTTACTCATTAGGTCGCTAGGAGAGCTGTTGTCATCATGTTTCTTTGATTAAATACAGATTTTCAAAGTTGTGTTATTCTTTTTGAATCACCCTGCAGTCACAGACTGTTAACTGCTATAAAACAAAGTACCTATAAGGAATCTGTAGACTAAGAAGGTACAACTAGTGGCTAGTAAAAGATTTTGCTTTAATAATATATAAATATATATTTATATATATATATATATATATATATATATATATATATATATATATATATATATATATATATATATATATATATATATAATTTTTTTTTTTTTTTTCTTTAATAAGAAATACCTTCTAGGCAATCAAAATACAAACTTAGACTATGGTACAAAAAAAAGGCAAAACTGTATAATTGAGACAACTGTCGACTTCCTTGAATTGTAGCATTGTCCTTTGAAGATGGTTAAGTCTCCAATGTGTCAGGCTTCTTCTTTAAAATAACCATCATCTTTATATTTCCCAAGCTGTACTTTTTAAACCCCTGCACATCATTGATTTCTGTACAAAAAGCAAAGAGAAACAATCAACCACTGTGAGAGATTTTTGTAACACCAATATTAGTCTATAATATCTAATCTTAAAACTTCATTAATACAAGTAGAGAGAGAGAAAGAGAGAGAGAGAGAGAGAGAGAGAGAGAGAGAAAGAAAGAGAGTCAGACAAAACTAAAAATGATATCATATCTATGTTCATTAACATCTTACACATATTAATCCTGTATGCTATAATCTTCATAAAAAGTAAGATTAAGTTAACATGCAATAATGAAGATTGAATTAAAGTTTTGTATCACAGGGATAAATGAAGTTTTACAATAAATTAGAAATTAACTTTACATTGTGAAACGTATTATAAATCAATTTTAAAAATTGGTTTTAGTGTATTTTAAAGAAAGTACATGCAGCCACACGTCTTTCAATATTGTTTAAATAATCTTACCATCTAAAACTTTTAAATGCTAGTGTATCTCAATAAAAAGATAAGTTAAACAAAATATAAACCAATGTTTCTGGAAAGGATGGACAAGCCTTTAAAATAATGACAGATCTACAGAACTGTTATTAAGTACTTTTGAAATGAAATACATAAAATAAACAAGAAGCTTCTGCTTACCTTAATATCTATTATTGTATCTATTCCATTATTTACATTTAGGACATTTCAATTTAAAACCAAGCACAATAGTCATTTAGATCAGGTTTATAAAACCCTATTCAATTAAATTTTAGTTAATGTTTTAAAAGAGAATTCTGGATTAATACAAATTAATACATCACTAATACAGTTGCATCAATTACAACATTTGCAGTGTTTTAAGCAAGTGAATGAGCTCGGATATCTTTTGGCGCGCGTTTGACTGGTATCACTGGCTTGGTCAAATATTCTGAACATATTCTCTTTTTTGTTGTTGTACTTGCAGAACCAACTGTTAAGGTTACGTTAAGTTTCTCTACACATCCTAAATTATAAAGTTGTGAGGACAGTATATGAATATGCACTTACCGCTGAATTATACCGCTGAAGATGATAAGGTCAAAATGGTCCAGCTTCTCCAAAAAACGTAGCCCTCTCTTTTGTCCTTTGACCGTGACTTTTTATTTTAACTGTGGTACGTTAGTGTTCATATGTGAATGGCATTTACAGTTAATATATCAACAAACACGTATTTTATCTTCATTTCGCGACCGAAATAAGGAGACAAAACGGACAAAAGATTGCTAAACGACCGTTAAGAAACTGCGTTTGTTTGTGAATCCTTGTTGTCAGGACAACGCGCGCGTTGCCGCGAATGCTCTTCTGTGATGAACGCGCGCGCAAGTTCACCCCAGTTGCGTAAGAGTGCCTCGTGGTCGCATAATTCAAAAGCAAAATCGCAAAATGTGTGAGTACGCATTTAAAGCGAGCGCCTTCTGTCTTCTTCGTGCTCGAGAAAGAGTATTATAAGTTACTGTAGCTTGTAACTGCTTCATTTAAAAGGGTTAAAAAAAAAGACTCGACTCTAGGAATCGAATCCTGTCTTGGAGTCGACTCCGGCACTACGTCCATTGAGGGTCGAGGAATCGACTCTTTTGAAGTCAACTCTCAATTCCCTACAGACTGATTCAGAAATCCATTTATTTTTTGCCATTGTACTCATGTACACAATATTAAATCTCATTACATTTTTACTTTTTATAAATCATGTTTTTTGAACCCAAGAAACAACATAAAACTTTATATTTAAAAATTACTAAAACAGAATTATCATTGCAAATAAACTCTTCAAATTCTATTTAAGTTACTTGTTTCCAAAACATCCCTGAATAAAAGTACAAAAAAATGTAGCAAGTACAGCACAGCATTGCCACAGCATTGGGAAATTGGATATTAGATTATATATCAGCACAATGCACAAGTGTAGTAAAGTTGTACATGAATATACTGCAAATTGTACTGTTGTTGATGTAATTTTATTAGAATTTTATAGTTCATTATTTTGCAGTTGCACATAATTTTACCTCATTTATCCTCCTTTATAATGCTGTTATACTGCAGTTTTGCACTTATTCACGGTATAGTGTTGGTCATCATGAAATATGGTTTTCAGATGATGATGTTTTTCACATGTGGGTTCATGTGATCACATGCTGTCCACATGTGGACAGCATAATTTTACATGTTGTCCACATTTGGTCACATTGACTTCAGATGTGGTCAAAGGTGATCACATGTGGCCCTATGAACTTCACATGTTGTCCACATGTGGCCACATGAATTTCACATGTTGTCCACGTGGTCACATAAATTTCACATGTGGTCACATGAACACATGTGGTCGTGAGCTTCACATGTGGTCACATGAACTTCACATGTTGTCCACGTGGTCACATAAATTTCACATGTGGTCACATGAACACATGTGGTCGTGAGCTTCACATGTGGTCACATGAACTTCACATGTGGTCACATGAACACATGTAGTCGTGAGCTTCACATGTGGTCACATTAACTTCACATGTGGTAACATGAACTTCAAATATGGCCACACGAACTTCACATGTGGCCACATGAATTTCACATGTTGTCCACGTGGTCACATAAACTTCACATGTGGTCACATGAACACATGTGGTCGTGAGCTTCACATGTGGTCACATAAACTTCACATGTGGTCACATGAACACATGTAATCGTGAGCTTCACATGTGGTCACATTAACTTCACATGTGGTAACATGAACTTCAAATATGGCCACACGAACTTCACATGTGGTCACATGAACTTCACATGTTGTCCACCTGTGGTCACATAAACTTCACATGTGGCCATGTGTGATCACATAAACTTTACATGTGGCCATGTGTGATCACATAAACTTCACATGTGGCCACATGAACTTCACATGTTGTCCACATGTGGTCACATAAACTTCACATGTGGTCATGTGTGATCACATGTTGTCACATGTGATCACATGTGGTCACATGTGATCACATGTGAAATTCATGTGACTTTTCTGTAAGGGTAAACAGGGTTTCCAAGGAGTCTTAAAATGTCTTAAATTCCAAAATCAAATTTTTAGGCCTTAAAAGTCTTAAATTTACTAAAATATTGTGTTTTAGGTCTTAAATCTTTTTTAAACAAGTCTTCATTTTCCTTTGTTCATATTTTGTTACCCAGTCTGGCCAAAACCCATACAATCACCAACAATCCATCTCAATAAAACTTTAAACTTTTTTATTCAAAAAAATCATTTTAACTCTATTTATCATAATGGATTAAGTATTTTCCTTACAATAACATTTGTTTAAACGTGCTCCATGTATTTACTGCTGAGGACATCGACCTGGACAGATTGTTGTGCATAGATTTAATTTATTATAGTTTTTAAAACATTTGTTAATTTTTTTTTTATTTTAAAGAAAGTTTATTTTGGAAAAAACGTGTGTGGATACAAGTAGAGCTTACTTTTTTACACATTTAAAATCTTTTACTAAGAAATATCCAAAATAATAATCTAATTTTTTTTTTATTATAATATTTTTTTTGATAGGACAAATACAAAATCTGGGCCATTTGAAAAATTCTTTAGTCTTTTATGAGTCTAAAATTTCATTCATAATGGTCATAAAAGTCTTAATTTTAACTTAGTGAAACCTGCAGAGACCCTGGTTTAAGGTATGTCAGAAAACGTGGATGCCCCAATTTTAAACATGCTGAATGAAATTGACACTAAAATAATTAATCACTATAAAACATTGTACAGTATTCTGAACTATATGATGTGATGGGACGACATGAGACAAAACAAACAAATAATAGTGGAAAAATAACGTTTAGCAATATTAGTGGCGGATTTAGGCATGGGTAATGTGGGCGATCGCCCAGGGTGGGATTTTCCTGGGGGTGGCAAAAAAAAAATGTCCCCTAGTGAAAGCATTTAGATACAGTTACTTTATGCAAATGTATTCATTAATAGTGGCAATCTCAAAATAAAGACATTAGGGGCCATTTACATTTGGCATTTTTTGCTCGTGCGAGTTTGTTATTCTCAATGTGCAACTGAAACATCGCTTGTGAAAGCAAACTGATGCATGCGTACAGAAAACCAGCAACTCACACATGCTCCTGTGTGAATCCCGGTTGTTTGCATTCACGCCAAAAAGTTAAGCGTCGCTCATGCGCCATGAAACCGAATTAACAGCCTTTTGTGCAGAAGAGTCGGCACACAGCGAGTTTTGCATAGTTTATGTAAAGTGTATGTATTTAACGATGGTGTTACTTTCACTAAGCATGGCTATAAAGCAGAAAGGAGGGATAAAGAGTCAGGGAGGTAAGACAGGTCTAAAGGTCTAAGACAAAAGATAATTTGGTAACACTTTACAATAAATACACACTATAAACCATTTATTATGCATTAGCAAATACTGAATTCATTATTTGTTTAGCATTATCTGTTTAGCATTAACTCTAAATTAATAAGTGTTATTAAACAGTTTATAACTGCAGCTACATATGCTGTATTCCTGACTTACAACGACATTTATAATGTGCTTAATAACTGTACTTTCATACTTTGTTAAGGATTAATTTTCTATTACTAAATTAAGTATGGGGATTGAAGCGCAATGTTTATGATAAGTGGGGCGGAGTGGGCCAGAATCACAGTGGCAGCAGGTCAGATGACTGTCAGACCAAGGGGAAATGTCCCTATGTCTCCCTATGGCCAGTTCGCCCTTGAGTTTTACTGTTTTCTATTGTTTTTTATTCCTGGTCATTTCTCCAATAATTGTAATTTCTAAAACAATAGCATATAAGATCAGGTCACTGCTATGATATGATTGACAATTTATGTATGTCACTGTTTGTCATTGTGCTCTGTTTATTCTGAGAGCTGAGGCTGAGTGTTTGTAGAGCGCTTAACGCTTGAAATTATTAACTCTGCGTCATTCTAACACTGGATAAACAGAATCCTGTGTTATCTGTAATCTCGTTCCACACTGCTCATGGTATACCTGATGTTCATTAATAGACGTTTCACAATCACAAGCCCCAGGTTAACATTGTAATTTGTATATTTATGTTGTCAATGTCCCTGACTGGACAAACAGCAGGTCATCTTTTTAGATGGCATTTCTGCATCTTGTCGGGTTAATAATATCTGCAAATTAGGAGAAATACTAGCCTTTTAGAAAGAAGCTATTATTATACCAATACCTAAACCATACCTAAATACCTCGTCCAACAGCACTTACCAGTTGCCTTTGCAAAACAATGGAACAAATGATTAATGATCGATTGGTGTGGATTTAAAAAGAAACAGAAGATTATTAAATATCAGTGTGGGTTTAGAAGAGGGAAAAGTACTCTTTGCCATCTTATACGATTAGAATCTTTTGTACGAGATGGTTTTATTAAAAAGGACACATGCAAGCAGTTTTTTTTTTTTTTTTTTTTAAATCTGGAAAAGGCCTTTGACACTACCAGGAGGTATGGTATTTTAAAAGATTTTCATGAGATGGATGTTTGAGGAAATTTGCCTAATTTTATTGCAAATTTTTTTTATTCAATAGAGTTTTTCGTGTGCGTATGAAAACTATATTATCTGAATATATGAGCATATATAGCATATATGAGAATCAGGAGTGCCCCAAGAAAGTATACTATCAGTAACACTATTTAGTATTAAAATTAATAATATTGTAAATGTTAATGGGAATAATATATTTCGTAGTTTATATTTAGATGATTTATGTATTTGTTATAAAGGAAAAATATGTATACAATCAAGAGACAAATTTAAATATGTATAAATAAAATATATGACTGGTCAGTTAAATGTTTTTAATTTTTCCAAGTTAAAAACTGTATGCATGCATTTTTGTTTTTTAAGATCTATGCATTTAGATCAGGAGCTTTTTTAGATAGAGCAACTATGCAAGTTGTAAAAAAGTTCCTAGGAATGAGTTTTGACAATAAGTAGTGTTTTATTCCTCATATTAAAGTATTACGAATTAGATGTTTTAAAACAATCAATGTATGAACTTAATCTTAAAAGGTAAAATAAATAAATAAATTAAGACCTCTGTAATGAAATCCAAGACTTTGTATAATAAATCAAGGCTATTAAAGCCTTAATTTAAGATTATCAAATTTAAGACTTTTTCAATGCTTTTAATTGTACTCTGGTTAGGTTTTGCATATAAATACTTGCGCTTGACACATTTGTTTCAGACTGTTATTTGACTATTACATTCTAAATGATGTAAATTCTAGTACATCATTTTTTAACTGTACCTATAGAACCTTATAACAGCACTAAAAGCAGCATCGAAACAGTCTCCTTATAGTCATTTCCCCTCTTAACGGTGATTGTCAGACTGATCTGGTGTATTAATCAACTATTGTGGGTTCTGAAAATGAACAATAATAGTGTTTCAGATGCTGGACATTCACTGGCACTAGATCCTCATTCATCAATTTAAGAGTAAATCTCTCTTCTTTGAACCATGTCAGCAGAGTTTGTGCATAGTCTATAAACTATAACTTCTATGTTAAGCGGCTTTGAAACAATTTACTTTGTAAAAGCACTCGACAAATAAAGATGAATTGAATAGAATCTGCTTAAATGTGTACACGTTAATGGACACAATATAATCGGATTTATTTTACATTTAATTTGCATCAAAATTACAGTGTGTGTAGCCAATGTTTCCAGTGTCTTTTCAGTTTTCAGCTTTTGATGAGAGTTTTTAAGATTTAATGAAAACTGTTTAATTTATTGATTTCAGACTTAATTGAAGAGAATGAGGGGAGTAAAGAGGAGGAACATCATGTCAAAATTGAGGAAAAAACTCATTTACAGACTGATGATATTTTGAAAAGGAGAGACAAGAACCGTTTCATCTGCACTCAGTGTGGAAAGAGTTTTGGAAGAAAAGGCAATCTTAAGACTCACATGATGATCCACACTGGAGAGAAACCATTCACATGCACTCAGTGTGGGAAGAGTTTCAGCCAATCATCACACCTTAACTATCACATGAAAATACACACTGGAGAAAAACGATTCACATGCACTCAGTGTGGGAAGAGTTTCAGGCAGTCATCATCCCTTACTCTACACATGATGATCCACACTGGAGAAAAACCATTCACATGCACTCAGTGTTGGAAGAGTTACAGCCGATCATCACATCTTTATCAACACATGAGGATCCACACTGGAGAAAAACCATTCACATGCACTCAGTGTGGGAAAAGTTTTAACTTCTCATCAACCCTTTATAAACACATGAAGATCCACACTGGAGAGAAACCATTCACATGCACTCAGTGTGGGAAGAGTTTTAACTTCTCATCAACCCTTTATAAACACATGAAGATCCACACTGGAGAGTAACCATTCACATGCACTCAGTGTGGGAAGAGTTTCAGGCAATCATCATACCTTAATGAACACATGATGATCCACACCGGAGAGAAAACATTCACATGCACTCATTGTGGGAAGAGTTTCAGCCAATCATCAAACCTTAATCAACACATGATGATCCTCACTGGACAGAAACCATTCATGTCTAATCATCTTGTTTAATCCCGCCCCTTTTCGCAGCGGCGTACAACAGAATTTTGCATACTCAATAGTGATGGGAAGCTCGGATCATTTTACTGACTCGGATCTTTGAGTCTCGTTCATCGAGATGAACAAATCTTTTTCGAGTCATTTCGTTCATTTGGTTAAATTTGACAAAATATTATTAAAATGTTACGAATTGCTTCCAAACACATCTACAACTGCCCCAGAAGGTTGATCACACGACAAATAAGTCATAAATAGAATATTATAAGAAGAAGAAAATAATAATTCAATGTTTACCTGCTCTTTTGTCTATAGGTATTGTTGTCTGTTTGCTCAGCTCACCTCTTCATGTCTTTAAATGTCAGTGGTGCGTTCACGTTACAATGACAGTCACATATAATCTTAACCAATGTACACAGTCTGAGCCGATAGGAGCCATGATAATTAGTTCACCTTTCGAGTCTTCTGGTTGTTGAGTCGTTTGTTCATCACGTGACAGAATAACTCAAACCGGAGGACTCGAGAGTTGAATAGATCAATTCTTTTTTTTTTTTTTTTTTTGGCTCTAAACTCATATGATTGGCCCGTGATGAACGAATGATTCAAACCCGAGGACTCGAGAGGTTAACAGATCAATTCTTTTTCTGGCTCTAAACGCATATGATTGGCATATAAATGCATATGTTTGGCTGTAGTCTTTCATGTGGTGAACAAACGACTCGATAGAGGACTCGAAAAATGAACTAATCTTGTCTCGCACTACACGACGTGCACATGAGCGAATTAATGAATCTTTTAGTTATCCGAGTCATTCATTCATTTTGTCACATAACATGAAAGAAAGCATAAGAGATGAGTTATTTAATAAATCAAATAGTCTTTGTGAATAGCTTTGTAACATATGATGCTGCCAGCATTAGACACTTAAACACTGTTTAATTGTTGTTTATTGTTTTATTATTATTATTATTATTTTACCAGAAAAGCTTTTATAACAAATCAGATTACTTTATAAATCACGACAATAAAATAAGCAAAAGAAAAACAAAATAGTGCACATCAAGCTAGGCTTTTTAATAAATAAAAACAAGCAAGCTTTAAATTAAATAACATGTTTGTGCCATAAAATCTTTATATCAAATATGGCAACTCTTCCCAGTAGATGTTTTTATGAAACAGCAATTTAAGTGAAAGATAATACAAATAAAAATACAAAGGCCACAGCGCCTAATGAGCTTAACAACTTGACTTGAGAATAGAACAGTGCATTTTTATAAAATGTTTAAAATTAAATAAGCTTTAAAACAACACTGTGTGGCTTTACTTCTTGGACTTGGCTTAAGGTTTGTTAGCATTCAAAAACACAAGCTCTGAACTTTTGGTAGGCTGAGTCTGTTTCTTCGTGTCATTAGTTTTTGGTCGCAGGATAAAAGATGCTAAATGAGTAAATGCAAATGAAATCTTTCTTTATACAAATATTAGACCAATACATAAAGTCTGCATAGAAAAACATTATTAAACAAAAAATGGGGTATAAAAGAACAAATTACAAATCACTTATACTAGATATATATACTAGATATAAACCACATATCCAGTAGAAAAAAAAGTAACAATAACTTAGTGACAATAGGACAGACCTTTTTTATTTTTTACAAAATGCTTTTTAGGTACACATTGTTTGATGATTTTATGAAAAGTTTAAAATATGATCATATGATGCAACAAAATTCAGTTTTACATAAATATCATTGACTGAGGTTCTTGTTGCAGAGTACAGTGGAACTACAGTTTAAGAATAGAAATGCACATAATAATGTAAGGATGGCTATATCTCTCCATAATATTCAAATCTGCAAACTGTTATGGAACTCCACACGAGACAAGACCATGAGAATGGTCAGGCACTAAAACAATAAACTTTCCAATGTGAGAAGAAGATCAGCTAGAAAACCAGTTGTTCAGGTTGTCTTGATCGTGCATCCTGAGCCCCCCTCTTTGCCCTGGACTTTACCTTCTCCACCAGAGCAGCTCACTCACATTTCACACCGAATGTTTAAGTTTTTAATATGGTGTATCTTGTGGCTTTATATTCATGTTTGGTGTGATTTTAAATGTCTCTGTGTGATTGGTAAAGTGGTCTTAATTTCACTGTAGTATTTTACAATCTCCTTTATATCAGTTAATTTGGGTTTTGACTTTGGGTTTAAGATCTTTGCCAGATGCTCCACTCCAGGCAAAATGGTCTTCGCATCAACTCATGACCAGGCAAGAGTCTTAGTGAAGCTTTTATTGTCTTGAATTTATAATGATTTGAGTATTTAGGCAAAGGGTGCAGAAGTGTCCGTGGGATCCTGTAGACAGGATACCCCATTGCAGGTTGTGAATCTCTGAGCTCTGCATCAAGACTTATATGCTGCAATGTATTTCTACATGGTCAGGTATTCCTCTTTAACTCTTAAATGTATCTTTGAGTAATTGATGTTGTACAATCTTGAGTGGCTTATTTTGTTTAATTATGTGAAAATCTTTTCCTAACAAATAAATGTACAATTCTTGTTTAACTCTAATATCTCCTAAAATCATTTAAATCTAGTAGACTGTTTAGGCTGACGTTTCCGCAGCCTACAACCAGGATTAGTCATCTATTTAGGCACAATGGATAAAGCATGGGCACAGCATTAGAGACCTGTTGATTTCTGACAATCACTGATGATATAATCTAGGGGTATGATATCATCTAGGAGCTAAATCAAACTGTCTTTAAGTATGTGCAAGCATAGGGCGGCCTATTATTACTTAAAGGAAATGAGCTTATCTGCTAAGAATCGGAACTGGAGAAGATATGTCCGTGAGCAGATGAAACTGGCCAGCATACTGACTTTAAGCAACTTTGAGTAAACGATGAAACATTAATTGAATATAAGGATTTATTAGGTTAATAAATCTAAATTAGACCTAATCACGACCTATAAGGTAATCAGCTGGAATTAGATGAATCTAAATCTAAAATGATTATAAATTGGAGTCAGATTAAAAATCAGAGCTAGAAACAAATTAAAATAAATCATAACTAATAAAAATATTTCTTTTCACATGTGCTAAAAGGTTTACACACAGTTAACCTTCACCCATGCTGTTAGCTCTGTCATGGGACTAATAGATGGACCCTCACATGTGTGTGTATTTATATAGTTTATAACCATAATAGTTCTACAGTTTCTTCTATTTCACTTGTTGTTGGTTTCTATTTTATTGCGCATTTTATTTAAAGAGCCCATATTATGGGTTTTTGAAAATTCCCCTCCATGTAGTGTGTAACACAGCTCTAAGTGAAGTGAAGTATCCAGCTAAGGCTTAAATCTGTAAGAATACAGTGTTTAAAACGGTTGATTCATCTATAAAAGAGTCGTCTCATAGTGCTTCAAACGAGTCGCCTTGATACCGATTCATTAGGTGTTTCGCCATGACGTACGAACGTAACCAAGTTATTCACGTGCACGCGCAAACCCGGGAGATTTCAAACCTGAGGCCCCGCCCTCTGACGCAGAAACCCAGAGACACACACACACACACACACACACACACAAACATGCCGGTGGATTGAAGTCACACTGCAGATGGATATATTGAGTCTCTACCTAAAGATGAAACCTCAGCATTATAGCCAAGCAGTTGGAAACTACTGGAAACTTCTGGAAACTACATGCTACAAAGAATACTTTATCAGCGTTTGTTAAAGGAAGGATTAGTAAAGAGTAACTTACTGATGGACGTCAGGATGGATTTTTCTTCCTCCATTTCTCAAGTGTAAGTACGTGCGATTAAAGTTGCCTCGTTGACTCTAGCTTGCAAATGTATTTAGTTGTGATTTGTTACTTGTAACCGCGTGTACTGTATCAGGTTAACTGGCTATATTCTCTTATCGCGTGCAAAGTCACGTTAAAAATGCGACGCGTGCTGCTTTGTTAATGGAGCTCCGTGGAGCTGTGTGTGCGTGTGCGCGCGCTGTCGTCCGAGGTGTGTGTGTTTGTGTGTGTGTGTGTGTGTGTGCGCGCGCGTTGTCGTCCGGAGCAGGGTTAAGTGCGTGTGTGTGTGTGTGTGCAATATGCATGTGTGTGTCTGTGAAAAGAGCAGAGTGAGAAGCTAGGAGATCTCCTCAACTGTTTTTGAGTTTTTGCTCAATAAAATAGTTAGTCGTCTGTATTTTCAAGTCCATCGACTGTATTTACATTGACCCACTGGCAGCTAAAATCCACGCCTACACTATCGAGCGTGTATGAACTGTGATTACTTTTATATTGCTGATTAGCTGTTTGGCATTTCACTCTCTGACTGAAAGCAGTCGACCAATCGCAACAGGCTGTCATTGGTCCAATCAGCGCAGATTAGCTTCGCGCTAAGGAGGGGTTTGGGAACAAATGAATCACTGGACGATTCATACAGGAGTCGCTGGGATAATAAGGTAAAAATAAATGCAGATTATAAGACTACGAAAGTGTTTTTTGACCTTGCATGCATATTAAACTGTTGTTGGAGACCCTTACAACCAAGATATGACCCTATTTCATGTATAATATGGGCTCTTTAAATAGTGTATTTATTTTGTTAAAGAGTCCATATTATGGGTTTTTGAAAATGCCCTTCCATGTAGTGTGTAACAGCTCTAAGTGAAGTGAAATATCCAGCTATGGCTTAAATCTGTAAGTGTACAGTGTTTAAAACTGTTGATTCATCTATAAAAGAGTCGACTCATAGTGCTTCAAATGAGTCGTCTTGATAACGAGTCATTAGATGTTTCATGA